AGGATTTCAGGGTTCAGGGTTTAGGATTTAGGCTTTAGGTTCTAGGGCCTACGGTTTAGATTGTTTTTTCAAGGGTTATATAGGGATATATAGAGATATAGTCTAAACTTGTTAAAGGGTTGTTATCTAGGGGCTTCTATGGGGGAGTATTCTGGGGCTTATTACGGGGGATAGTGGGAGTTAACATTATAGCTCAAATTGAAAGATATAGGGTTCAGGGTTTGAGGGCTTTGGGGTTCTTACAAAGTTATATGATTCCTTAAAGGGGGTTATATAGGGGTATTATATAGGGGACTACTAAAGAACTTATTAAGGTGGATATTAGGAGTTTAGACTATGGCTCATATAGTGATATGTCGAGATATCTAGGGATAGATAGGGTTCAGCGTTCTAGGGTTCAGGGTTCTGGGGTTCAGGTTCTAGGGTTTTAGGGTTGAGGGTTTTAGGGTTCTGGGGTTCAGGGTTTAGGGTCCCTTTCAAAGGGACTGTAATAGGGCGCATTTAAAGGGGTTATGTCAGCCCTGACTAAAATACAACAATACTCTCGCGTGTCAGGGATCAAGTTGGGTATATGTAGGGTGTACCCAGGGTTTAGGTTTTCTAGCGTTTAGGATTTCACGCTGCTTTTCAAAGGGATTACAGTAAGGGTGCCTTGAAAGGAATTATATTAAAGGGATGTGTAGAGCCACATAGGGTCCAGGGCTTAACCGTCATAGAGTTTAGGGAGCGCGCTTTGTATACGTTAGGTGGACCCCTCACCCACTGACTATAAGGGGTGATGGTGATTATATTAGGGTCCTCTTGTATTCCTACGGTACCACTCTTACAGAGTTCGGGAGTCCACTGAATCTATACAATTTGGTTTCCTTGAGGGTTTTTGGGGGGTTTCGCAGGAATGTAGTGGGTTTCGGGCTTAGATAGCAGGATTAGTTTAGGGTGCAGGGGGGTGGGGTCGCCACCGGGCGGATCTGAAGCCTGTTGCAAAAAGGGTTTAGGGGTTNNGGGGTTTTGGGTTCAGGTTCAGGGTGAACCTTGAATCCATTACTCAGGGAAGGGCAAAACGAGGAGGACCATACCCGGGTAGCCCTCAAATGCGTAGTTGAAGAAGTTGATGCTAACATCGCGAAGCACCTTAGCATGATATTCTGGGTTGCTGTTAAGG